ATTTATCATACAAAAGGATTTTCCCGCTAATTCCCGTGCCCGTGGGAATTTCGGGTATTCCTTTCTTAATGCACCTCTACGGTACCTAAGCTACGTCCCTTCCAAATTTCAAGTGCTACATTTGTAAACTATGAAGGGATATGTTTAATCATTAGTATAACATTAATAGCAGGGTTACCATCTGAAATCGGCTATTATTGGCTATTAATGGCTAATAACTGCTTTTAATCCGTTACTAGCCAATTGCTATTAATCGGATTATTAGCACTTACCCATCTCTAAGTGCTACATCGAGTTGAAATGGTGCGTTACGTCACGCCTAAGTAGATTTTTTACTAAGAAGTGATACGCGAATAATTACAGTATTAACTTTAAATATATTCGATTATAAAAAAAAATATATTACCCAGTAACAAAATAAAGTAAAAAAATATTACCCAGTCATCATTCCAATTAATATTGAGTATTTTTTTTGCTTAAGGTTAAGTCTTAAGGTTTTCAATAGTAAAAGTAGCTAAAACTTAAAAACTTCAGCTATTTTTCTTTTTATTTCACTGGGAAAGTGTAACAAATCTGATTGGTAATTTCCAAAGGTATTGTGCGAAATGCGGCGAGAGCTTCAGCACAGAACTGGACCTTAAGAAGCATTTGAAGCAGCACGCTAAGGAGGAGCGGAAGATGAAGAAGAAAGTCGTCAGGTGTGAGGAGGTATAAGATCGAATAGAAACAATAATAATTAAACTTTAATACTTCTTGTATGGGGTGGAGGGTTAATATCCTGAGCAACAGGAATTTTCCTAAATGAAAGAAAAAATGTTTATTCAGTATCATCGACAATACACCAATACATCAATAATTCAGGTATTAACCTGCCACAATTTGTTGATTGTTAATAATATTCTTATTGTTTACTAGCTGACCCCGCGAACTCTGTTCCGCCTTAAAGGCAATAAATAAGCCATCGCAATTTTTCCTTATTTGCTCACCGTTTAGACCTACCCTGGACTACGACAAACATTTTAAAACCAAAATCAACTCAATCGGCCCAGCCGTTCTCGAGTTTTAATCAGACTAACGAATAACAATTCATTTTTATTTATATAGATAACTAGCTGACCCGGCGAACTTTGTTCCGCCTTAATGGCAATAAATAAGCAGACTCTTTTTTAATTTCGAACGGGATAAAAAGTATCCTATGTCCTTCTCCTGGCTCTAAACTACCTCCCTGACAATTTTCAGCTAAATCGGTTCAGCCGTTCTTGAGTTATAAGCGAAGTAACTAACACGACTTTCTTTTATATATATAGATATGTATTGTATGTGGTGAGAAATAAACAATTTATTTATTATTATTTATTAATAAATAGAAAGTTTTAATTTAGATAACTGCTTTAATAACTGCGGTAATAACACGATTAGGGACCATGGTCTGGTAATATTTTTTTCAATTTCAAACGTCAGCGAGACTTCAGATGTATGCTTAATTGCTTACGTCATAATATGTCTATATCACACAGTCCGCTTGCCTGAGCTATGGCATTGATTCAGTTAAGTTTGATATAGCCTGACCAGGAACATAAAAACCCTCGCCATGTTGCGGAAAACTAATGGTACTAATTTCTTTTAATGGCAACAGTAACTGAAAACTTCATTGACATGTCACCTTGCATGTCAGTCTATTGTTGTCAAAGTGTAAACAAACTTTATTTTAAATGTTTGCAATTGATTTTGTGAATTAAATTGCTAAAATATTTTTATAATCGTGAAAGAAAAGTGGTTCACGATGTGTTAATGTATTTGTCGAAGAGAAATACTAAGGGTTCGGACAATATTTTCATTGAATAATGTTTCCGACAAAGGTTGTCAAATTGACTGACATGTTTATCGTATAGTACAGTCCACTATGAAAATTAGCTGTAGTCTGTTTCAACTACCTATTTTAAAGTTTTTTGTCACTTTCTAAGTTTTGAATTTTATGGAATTGGGAAAGAAGTACCGAGTTTGAAGCGTTCATGAGCAGACATTGCAGTTGAATATTCAAGTTCTGAATTTGATTATTGATGAATAATAAAATAAATCCTACTAGCTCGATTGATGGTTTCATTTAATTTATTTAAACCAGGTTACCTTTAATAATATTTTTCGTTAATTTATGAAAATATCAAATTAGCCCGTATTCCTGAATCCTGATACATAAATTTAGCCTATTAATTTAACACATGTACGACTGTACTCAGTGTTGCACTATCAAATGCAATTGAAGCGCCTCTATTCCAGGGTTTTTATGTTCCTGGTCAGGCTATACCTATAATCTATCTCATCATCATCATCAACAGCCCTTTACAGTCCACTGCTGGACTATGAGCCTCCTCCACTATAGTGGAGGGTTTTGCCATAATCCCCACGCTTGGCAGGCGGGTTGGAGATCGCAGTTTAAAAGATTGATATTTTTCAGAGAGCGCTGCTGCCCATTCTCTGTTTGATGTGTAGTCCCTAAGTCGCCTCTTACGACACCCGCGGGAAGAGTAGGGGTTGGTGACAAATGTATTCTACTCTGCCGTCACCACACGGCTTTGCACGGCATAATCTATCTATATAAATAAAAATGAATTGATGTTCGTTAGTCTGATTAAAACTCGAGAACGGCTGGGCCGATTGAGCTGATTTTGGTTTTAAAATGTTTGTCGTAGTCCAGGGTAGGTCTAAACGGTGACACGCGCGATATTGTTTTTCTGTGACAGACAAAATTCCACGCGGGCGAAGCCGCGGGCGGAAAGCTAGTAATGGTATAAAATATCATCTTACCTTCACAGTGCAACCTAACATTCGGCGTGGCGCGCTCGTACTCGCTCCACTACCAACAAGTGCACCTCCGCCTGCCTCCAGCGACCTACCCCTGCCTGTCGCGGCCGGCGCTGGCTATATGCGACGTCTGCGGGAAGAAGTGCTCGGTAAGTAATAATATAGTGGTGTTAGCGCCCTTATATAGTGCTTTGGCGCCCTTATGTGTAGTGTTTGCGCCCTTATATGATGTTTTGGCCCTCCTATATGTAGTGTTGGCGCCCCTATATGAAGTGTTGGCGCCCCTATATGGGCCATCTTCCCCAGCTAAAGAATTGGCGCCATTGTATTGCTAGAAACTCTCTAAGCGCCCTTATATGGTGTGTTGTCGCACCTATATGTAGCGTTGGCGCCCTTATAAGGTGTTTTGGCGCCCTTAAATGTGATATAGGCGCCTTGCTAGCTAGTCACCACCAGTGGCCGAGCTCCAGTAGTCGGCAAGGCGTCGCATATAGCTCGTACTCGCTACACTACCAACAAGTGCACCTCCGCCTGCCTCCAGCGACCTATCCTTGCCTGTCGCGGCCGACGCTGGCTATATGCGACGTCTGCGGGAAGAAATGCTCGGTAAGTAGCTATGTAGTTGTTTTGGCGCCCTTATTTGTAGTGTTTGCGCCCTTATATGGTGTTTTGGCGCCCCTATATGTAGTGATGGCGCCCCTGTATAAAGTGTTGGCGCCCCTATATGGGCCATCTTCCCCAGCTAAAGAATTGGCGCCATTGTATTGATACCAACTCTCTAAGCGCCCTTATATGAAGTGTTGTTGCCCCTATATGTAGCGATGGCGCCGTTATAAGGTGTTTTGGCGCCCTTAAATGTGGTATAGGCGCCTTGCTAGCTAGTCACCACCAGTGGCCGAGCCCCAGTAGTCGGCAAGGCGTCGCATATAGCTCGTACTCGCTGCACTACCAACAAGTGCACCTCCGCCTGCCTCCAGCGACCTACCCCTGCCTGTCGCGGCCTGCGCTGGCTATATGCGACGACTGCGGCAAGAAATGCTCAGTAATTAGCCATTTAGAGGAATTGGCGCCCTTATTTGTAGTGTTGGCTCCCTTATATGGTGTTTTGGCGCCCCTATATGTAGTGTTGGCGCCCCTATATGTACTTTTGGCGCCTACATTGTATGCGTCATAATTTTAGCGCTACAATATTATGATATTGTCGCCACCATTACTTTGGCGCCTGTATAATTTTAGGCGCCACCCTACTTAATAGGTGTCCCGTTAGCTAGTGAGGCTCACGATTACCGTACAAAGCAACCCGTGTGTTTTTAGAGCTGTCCAACAAGAAATTATTAATTATTAAGATAGTCAACAAGTTACAATAATTACAACTGTATACAGGATTTCCTTTATGCGCAAATCGTCAAGCGGTCGCAATCTGCCAGACTCGCAAATTGTCATGTTTTCAAAATGTCCAGTTGTTTAGGTTTAATAACAAAAGTCAAGTAATTAATTGGCAGAACTTTTAATCAATAAACCCATGCGCAAAAAAAAGGATTTTTGTTGAACGGTGATTATAACTTAATTTATAATTTTGTCTCCAGTCGGCGGCGGCGCTCCGTAACCACTTACGGATACACACGGGCGAGCTTCCATTCCAGTGCAGCGAGTGCCCCAAGCGGTTCCGAGTCAACGAGCGATTGCAAGTACGTACTAGCTAGTTAAACCACATCATTATAGCATTTGGCAGTCCTATTGAAGTCTATACTAAGTATCGTATTAGAGTAGGCGCACACCGTTGATTTTTAGTTGGCCGATAGTTGTGTTGTCCGGCCAGCTGCTAGGCCGGATAGCCGGATATCCGGCGGCCGGATAGTTGGCTTATTGTCTCGTTGCATGTCGTGACGAGTTTAGCGCCGCACAGGTGCTTCGAACGCGATCAGTGGGTCTATTAGTAGACTAGACTAGTCACACTTTTCGAAAATCAAATCCGTCCGAACAGAATATCAGATTTTGCCACTTGAAAAGGGGGCAGATCAATTCGGACGATTTCGGTTGCCATCGTGAGTGTATAATTGAATAGCGAAAATTAAATTAGTTTACTTGCTGCGTAATCTGACTGAACTGCATCATGTCATCAGACCATCAGTGAAAAAAAGATCGCATATTTTATTTGGCAATATTTCGACATTAACAGATATTTACTATTTATGTATTTGTCCTTAGAGTGAATAGCTCAGAAAAAGAAATTAGTTTTTGAAAGGCCTTAATATGGCTTTTTTGTAACTTTTTGGACTTTAAATAAAAGCCGCCGTTATAATAAGCCATTTTATTGATATTTACCTCAAAGATTGATGTATTTTATTTTATTAACAGGAAATTGTCGTAGTTTTTTAATATCCGGTATCCGGCCGGATAGTGAGCTACTATCCGGTATCCGGCCGGATAGTAAATTTAGACCGGATATCCGGCCTACCGGATAGTTACCGGATATCTGTTTCATCTCTACTATTTATGACAAACTAATTTAAATTTTTGTCCATTTCTTTATTCTCTCAGATCCATCGGCGTATCCACACAGGAGAGCGGCCAGTTAAATGCAGTTACTGCCCCAAGGCCTTCCGGCACAAGGCGCAACTCATCAGACATGTTCGAGTAAGTATAGTTCATCATTTTTGTGCCTGTGTCAAATAAAGTTGTCATAGTAACATATGATAGACGGATGATAAATAAATTTCATAGCCAAAATGCACAATATAGATGACCCACGCTGAACTGTCCCACCAAACTCAATGACAGGGGGGCGCCACCATCGTTCAACTATATGGTTTCCAACATGGCAAACATCGGAACCAGCGATCCGGTATTGACGGTGGTGCCCCACTGTCAATGTCATGGATAGGACAGTTCAGTATTTTAGAACTATAAATTATTATTTGTACGCTTTGGAGCTCACGGGTCAAAAGTGGCCCGGTCCTTTATAAGGCTTGCGTGGGGACACAGATCCAACACGTAGAGGCCGTTTTAAGCGCAAAATAATCGACAAAATGATATCAAACACGGCATATTTATTTTTTTCTTAACTTAATTTTTTTACTCTGTATGTTTTGTCCGCTAGAGGGCGCCACATTAGATTTTGTGAAACCCCATATAGCCTATAACCAGCGGACAATTAAGACGCTTCTAATGATAGGTCATTTGTCGAATTCTGATAAGTAGTTTAGAAGTTACGAGGGAACCGATGAACATACATACATAGCCTGTTAAAATCATAACCCTCCTTTTGCTTTACCGTAGTCGGGTAAAAAGTGAAAGTGGTACACATGCTGGATCTAGTCTCTGACTATATCATATTATTTCAAAGTCGGCCGTTTGGTGTAGTGGTTCTAAAACGGACTACTATGCCGAGAGGTCCCGGGTTCGATTCCCGGCCGGGCAGAAAATGAAATGATGAATTTTAATTTCTGTGACGGGTCTGGGTGTTACTATGTATAATATGTATTTAAAAAGTATATATGTAGTATATCCGTTAAACTAGGACCCATAACACAAGCATATTAATTGCTTACTTTGGGGCTAGATAGCGCTGTGTGAAATTTCGAAAGATATTTATTTGTCGAAAGATATTTTATTTAGGAGTCAGTGCCTGAGGATATGGGAGCGGCACGGTCGACTGTTTTTGTGACGTCAGCGAGACTTCAGATGTGCATCAGACTTGTATAGTTCCAAAATACTGAACTGTCCTATGCATGACATTGACAGTGGGGCGCCACCGTCAATACCGGATCGCTGGTTCCGATGTTTGCCATGTTGGAAACCATATAGTTGAACGATGGTAGCGCCCCCCTGTCATTGAGTTTGGTGGGACAGTTCAGCGTGGGTCATCTATGTGCTCTGTCACGTCATATGTTCCTGCCGTCACATAATAATATTCTCAGCACCAACCAATATGTTGAACTAAATAAAATATTTTTCTTCCTCTCTTTCTATAGGGTATAGGGTGTTAGGTAAATGGGTATATGAGCCGACACTAGCCCATGTTAACATGGGCATATAAATGGTATGGTGAAGTCAGAAAATTGATATCTTCATTTTAATTATTTTAATTTTCATACAAATCGGATTTTATAAATTTAATTTTGTATGGTTGTCTAGTAGTGGTGGTAGGGAAAGCTAAAACTGACCCGAAAAGGGCCAACAAACTAATAATTTGAACTGTACATAAGTAAAACACCCTGTATTTCCCTTTCAGGTGCACACAGGAGAGAAGCCGTACCCTTGTGCCCACTGCGGCAAGTCTTTCTCTTTGAACTACACGCGGAAGGCGCACATACGCACTGTGCATATGGGACTACCTAGCGGGGCAGGGGGCCCCTTACCGGATGTCTTTTATGGCGCCCCTCCAAGTTTGTAAGCGATCCTTATATTTTTTAGGGCACCCCTTTGAAGCGATTCTACTGATTTTGTTTGTAACTCAAACCTTCTATAAATGTCCCATTCCAATTTTATAATAACGGTGCCCCTTCTCTTTAACTATAAAATTTTGTCTAGTTCCATGGGCCTTTCAAATTTGAGCCACATCATTTAGAGCCAATTCGTTATGCGAGCCAAAATGTTAGTAGGCGCCCCAATATGTAAATATACGGGCGCCAAACTTGATGATAACGACGAACGAAGCCGGAATAATGTATCTTTAGATATGTAGTAGATCTGTTATTTATAAAAAATAAATATTATTCCGCGGCTAAGTCTAGGCGCAAACCACTGACTTTCAGTTGTCCGATAGTTGGGCCCGATTATAATTTGTATGAAGAATCGGCCGATACCAAATCGGTGTAATGTGCGCACCTCCAAACATGCCCATACCACAGAATAATAATAAGTACTACGTACAGAAGTTTTACTTCGCGAAGGTATTTAAAAAAATGTATGCTCAATGTTATTAACAATATGGTGTAATTTAGCCTGTCTCAAGAGTCAAGCACCATTTTGTTGACAAACGTCAGTGATCGGCACTGCGCCGAAGCTATAGGGCTGACTTCGGTAAAATGATGTGACGTGAGGTGCCAATCTGCAGAAAATGGCGGAGGAAATACATGTTTTAGCATGAATTATCATGAATAATATTAACTACTTATTTACCTCTCAGTGTCTTGAGGCATCTTAAAAAAGTACATTCTGTGTTTTTATTATTATTTAGGCAGTTAAACACTGCACAGTATTTAGTACACCATTTTATTTATTTTCTTCCATCATACACAAGAATACGCGTGCGTGAGTTCGCTCGTATGTGAGGCCTTGTCGAATAGTATCCTGTAGGTGGGCCATTGTGCGTGTTTTGTTTTCGATGTAAACTCGCGGAGATTAACAGGCCTGCCCATACTGATTAACAGCCCGACCCAACTAACGGCCGACTAAACGTCGGTGGTCTAAAAAAATGATATTGAGATATTAGAATCAGATAGTAAGGATAGTAGTGTAATATAATATTTATTTATAAATAGATGTAAAATACAAAAATAAAATAATTTAAACCAGATTTGAGTTTTTTTTTAAGCACAACTTGAAAATTTTAGTTAATGATTAATCGTTAAAAATAATAAAATATATTTAAAATTTAGACATCAAAAATATAAACAGCAGGCGACGACCGAATCAAATGAAATTAAAAACAATTGTAATTTGAATTGGTATATTTTTTGTTACCATTTTTTATGATAACTATTGTTGTTATTTCATTTGTTTTAAATTAATTCTAAAATCGACTTAACATCTATAATATTAAATTAGAATATCACAATTAAACATTATTGAAAAATAAATTAATTTAAGATCAATCAAATGCAGTATTATTATCTCTATTATTTATTCATAGTATCATACAAAATTTTACAAACAACAAGTCCATAATATAAAAATTTTAATCTGACACTGAAAAAAGTGCAATCGAAAATCGTTTGACAGAACAATCGTACGCTATGAACTGTCAAATGATAACGATTGCTTTACACAATTCCACTTCTGGCTAGCGTGGGGAGTAGACCAAATCCAAATTTCGTTGCGGGTCCAATGACAGTTTAACTTTCTCCCGGGACAATCTTAACCTTCACTGGTTGGGTTATGGCGGTCAAGCTGTAGATCCTGGCTACACAGGAGTTGCAGCGGTGGGAACGAGAGGTGGGAATAGTAAGTTTGGGGACTTCTAAAGCCTGGTCTGCGAGCACGTAGAATTTTGTCCAATGACCCCAAGCTACCCATCCTTATCGCTCGCGCGTAATTATATTGCTGTCGCGACTGTGCGACGGGCGCCCGCAGTGAGTGTGCGAGCGCGACAGCAATATAATTACGCGCGAGCGATAAGGATGGGAAGCTTGGGGTCATTGGACAAAATTCTACGTGCTCGCAGACCAGACTATAGATGGCATTATAAAGGTAAATCAGGCTGTTGTGCCTTTACAAAAAATTGAAACTGCCTGCATCCAAAACTGTATTCAAAAGTTTCGTATATCCTAAAGTTTCGGTTACGGTAACGGATATCCATAACATCCCTGGTTAAGATCCGTTTCAGGGTTGATAAGTGTAAGTCCTTTATTCCACAGCTGGTCTTCTAGCCCGATACGGCGAAGGCTGCTTCCAATGGACGGTGCGGACGTGCACTTTCATGGAGTTGGATTGGGAGAATGACTTGTCGCAGTGCGCACAGGAATAGGGCTTCGCCCCCGTGTGCACCTGTGAATAGAAAGTTACCATTTTAATATTAGTCAATTAATTATACAGGGTGACTGAAACCAGAGGTGGAATTGTGTAAAGCAGTTGTAATCATTTGACAGTTCATAACGTACGATTATTCTGTCAAACGCTTTGTTTAACTGACTTTATCGTACGTTATGAACTGTCAAATGATTACGATTGCTTTACACAATTCCACCTCAGACCCGCTTTAGCAAATTCCCATGTAGCTATAATTTAGATAGGTAAAGGTCCAATAGTTCCCAAAACACCTCCTCTACATGGTTGGTCAGTTAGGATTTCGAAATCCTGTTGGCTCCCCCAGGGGGGGCAACAGGACTGCACCGGATTTTTAGTTCCAGTCACCCTGTATAATTTATTGGATTTGTATCGTTTAACAGTAAACAGTTTTGACATGTGAGCTAACATATTTGTATAAGATTTTAAAGTTTCGCGTTCCATTTCAACTAAAATAGTAAGACACGGGTCTTAACGCGACGTTTATTAATGAGCCGAAACGTCAAGCCATGAGTACATAATGTAACTCATTAATAAACGTCGCGTTAAGACCCGTGTCTTACTATTAACGTATTTGTGCTGATCAGTTGGCGCCACTGTCTAGTAAAATTCTGTCAGTCGCTAGTGGCGCCAACTGGTGATTACAAAAAAAATAGCTCACATGGACCCTACTATTCGGGAATTTCTTATTGAAGTTTGTTATAGCAGTAGTGACCACCTTTTGGTCTAGTGGTTAGACCTGTCTCAGACCCAGAGGTCCAGGGTTCGTTTCCCATATGGGGCAAGTTTTCTACTTGGTTTGGTCATTAGAGGCAAAGTTTTCTGGTCGGAGGAAAAACTTGTTCTAAAGTACGTTTGGTTAGTTAACACCATCTTTCTTAAGTCTGTCACCAATCACCATAACAACAATGTAGTTGGAGATATGATAGCCAGTCCCTCTGTGGTTGAGGATTCCTGGTGAAGCTTTTTTTCACTTCATCATCACTTTCAGCTGAGATTTGTGGTAAAAATTAATATATTTCTTACCCTGTCATGCCTATTCAGCGCTGCCTTGTGTTTGAAGGCCTTAGGGCATATACTGCACTTGAAAGGACGCTCGCCGGTGTGAGTGCGTTGATGTATCTGGAAAGATAAATACTAGCTTAAGATAAAAGCAAAAATAGCAAAAAAAATTATAAACAGGATTGCAACCGCTGCAACTCCTGTGTAGCCAGGATCTACAGCTTGACCGCCAATAACCGGACCAGTGAAGGTCAAAGTCCCGGGGGAAAGTTAAACTGTCATTGGACCCGCAACGAAATCAATCAGAAGACAATGAGTTCCTCCAGTGCAAAGCGGATGACAACAATGTTAACAGCATTATTGTGTTCCGGCAGTTGGAGGTAAGATAGCCAGTTCCTCCGTGGTTGAGGATTCCGGGTGAAGCTCGCTTCCACCTTCGGCCTGATCGTCACTTACCATCAGGTGAGATGCAGGCCAAGAGCTTCCTCGTTGTTGATAAAAAAAAATGAGAAAAATTGGTAAACAAAGAATACCAGTGTCAGGATTCTACTCTAGAACATGAAACACTGAGTGGGTGTTATTTTGTAGTTATTTATTTTATATGGAAATTATTTTTTCACACTAGGCACTTATTATTATAGAATGTAAAACTGAGTTATGTATTTTGTACAATAGGTACTTATCATGTGATAAAGCTACTTGCCAATATTTTTCCAAAAACCGCTAAAAACATTTTTATTTTATTTTACTTTAAAGAAAACAAACAGTGGTATTTGACTTATTAACTACCTGATGTAAAGCTTTCATCATAAATACCTGCAGCCGCTGTGAAATACTGAATCGTTTCGGACACTGGTTGCACTGGTATGGCCGCTCGCCCGTGTGGATTCGCTGATGGTACCGCAGCGACGCGTTCGACTGGGAACACACGGGGTTCAATGAGGGCTATCGTTTTAGCGCTCACCAGTTAGCGCCACTGTAGAGTAAGGTCCTGTCACTTGCTAGTAGCGAAGACAGTGGCGCCAACTGGTGAGCGCTAAAGTGGTAGGAGGACTATCGCATTTGCACTCCTCAAGATGGCGCCACTGTAGAGTAAGGTCCTGTCAATCGCCAGGGGTGCCAACTGTTAAGTATAAAAACGATAGCCCTCATTATGCGACGTGACAGAAACTATCGCAATAAAGTCAATATTCCTTTATTTGTATGGAGTCCAACACTGGTATGGACTATTAAAAATAGTGCTTACAAATCATCAAATATTAAAATAAAATAAAAAAAACTTTAAAGTTTTGCTCTTAAGGAGCCTTTACATGTCTCATAATCTTTTTGCCCTACCAGCGCTTCGAGACCAACATTTGGCAAGTGCTGAGAAGAAGCGCCGCAACAAACTCAGTCACCACTGTCTGCCAGTTGAAATAAATAATTTGCATACTTACAATGCACTTTCGGCCGCACACCTCGCAAACGCGCGATGTATTTCGACTCTTCCCACGGACGTCCCTGCAAAGATTCCATACTTAATACAATATTTTGAAGATAAATCTTATTCTACACTATGATGTACCAAAACGGGACAATTCCCACCTCTCGTTCCCACCGCTGCAACTCCTGTGTAGCCAGTTTCTACAGCTTGACCGCTCAACTCAAGTGAAGGTCAAGTTTGTCCCGGGGGAAAGTTAAACTGTCATTGGACCCGCAACGAAATTAATCAGCAGAACATAGGAGTTCGAAGTTAAGGTTCGACTTTCAGTGCAAAGCGGATGACAGGTGACAAACAAAGCTTTAGTAACCTTTAAGAACACTATGTGGGTAAGCGGATTCACGAATGCCAAAAATATAGCATGCGTGATATTATACATAGATACAGAGAGATGCCAATTAATGCGCTGAGTTCGAAACTCAGTGTCGCAATAGAAATTCACACACACAAAGAAATCAAAATATGTGCTCACTAGCTTTTGCCCGCGG